GAAAATAAAAGAAAATTTATTAGGAACCTGCTGCGATGTGATCACTGTCCACTGGTTGTTTTCCTTTCTGATGGCATCTAGAGTGTCATGAAACTGTTGCAAGCGATTAAAGAGATCCATTTTTGCTCGAACAATTTTTTGCGTCTCTTCGATTGCCTGAACAAGTCTCCGGCGCTTCGGATCGTTACTCAGTAGTTCTTCTGCCTCCTCTTCGTATTTCTGCAAAATCCCAGCGGTAAATTGTTGGCAAAAGTACTGTTTTTTGGTGACCGGCACAAAAATGAGAAAAGGCGAGACAATCTGTACCTGTACGTGCACCAACATTTCTGGCCGGCAGAAACAGTAATTTAAGTGGTGCAGGTAGTATAAGAACAAAGAACCGGAAAAAGGATAAAAACACTGGACCAAGGAATTTTTAACTGACGGTCAGCGAAACTTCTAAAAAGCAAGCCAACGAACGAAAATGTGCATGAAAAAGTTGCGATGCCACGCAACCCGCTAAAGAAGCATGTTTTTTTTCAAAAATTCGAAACGCAACGCAAACGGCACCATCTGTTGGGCACGCCGGTGGTGAGAACAAGCAGACAGCTGTGGAACGGGCCCCTGAATAAAGTGAGAATGGATGGAAGTAACCGAGGACAAAAGCCACAGAGGAATGCTAAACAGCGGGAAGTGGGCAAATGCCTGCTCATCATGAGCACTGGCACTGCTGTGAATGCATCCAAGTAGAACGAGGCGCTCGGTCGCTTACTTGCAACACTGGAGATTTTTTTACGCCACTGTTGGTTATCAGCATCTGACCCACTGCTGTACCCGCTGCTGGCGACAGTGCTGCGAGCCGTCTATCCAGATGATTCCGCCAATTTTAGGTAACCTATTTGTATAATAAGAAAACTCCATCCCCCACCTCCTCAAAAAAGAGGTACGAAAACAAAGGACGAAAAACACCTTACAGAAAAAGATATATCAAAAATCCAGGGCAGCTCGGGCTATCAGAATAGGAATACCCTGTTAGTAAAGCACGCAGTCTGCAACCTAATGGCCTATCATAGCCACACGCCGTGCGTAGCTATGACAGGCCCTTCGGTCGCAGAC